AGCAGGTCCCAAGCCCTGGTAAAGGAGGAGGGTTGTGTTAGGCGTGGCGAGCCAATGTAAAAACTTAGCCACTTAAATGGAGATGAAACCCGAAAGAAAATCGTTGGGGCGTAACCCTCTTAGCGACGCGCCATATCGGAACCCGGTATGGTGTTAAATGGGCAGGGCCGGGTCGTCACCCCGTGACGCGTCGTGTCGTGATCTGGGCATGGTGTCAAGTAACCAAGGATCGGGTCGTCGCTTCCTTAGTGGCGCTACATCGGCGCTTGGTGTAGTGAAAAATGAGCAAGGGTCTTCGCATCGAGTCGACCAGGTGCGAAGGGTAAGGAAGCTAGTCGAACCAACTAGGATCCGTTTAGGTAGTTGGAATGTAGGGTCACTTACTACAGTAAGTTAAGAGAATTAGTTGATACCGCGACTAGGAGGCGTAAATATATTATGCGTTCAAGAGACTAAATGAAAGGGTTAGAAGGCGAAGGAGGTGGACAATCTGAGGTTTCAAGCTTTGGTACACAGGACAATGTGAATAGAAATGGAGTAGGAGTTTTGATTGATAAGAGCCTCAAGAATGGTGTGGTGGGAGTGAGAAGGCAAGGAGATAGGATTATCTTAGTCAAGCTTGTCGTTGGTGATATGGTCTTGAACGTAATTAGTGCATATGCCCCCCAAGTAGGCCTCGACGAGAGTGCTAAGAGATAGTTCTGGGAAGACTTAGATGGCCTAGTTAGAGCTATACCTAGTAGTGAGAAGCTTTTTATAGGAGGAGATCTTAATGGGCATGTAGGTACTACAAGCGCAGGTTTCGAGGCAGTTCATGGAGGTTTTGGGTATGGTAGTAGAAATCAGGAGGGGGAGGAAGTTCTAGACTTCGTGGTAGCTTTTGACCTGATGATAGCCAACACTTTCTTTAGAAAGAGAGAATCTCATCTAGTGACCTTCAGTAGCGGACAACACTGTAGCCAGATTGACTTTGTCCTCGCAAGAAGAAAGGACAAACGAGCATGCTTGGATTGCAAGGTGATACCAGGGGAGTGTGTTGTTTCTCAACATAAGCTTTTGGTGGCAGATTTTCATTTTCAGGTGCGTGCCCGTAGGGATAAACAAGCTAAGATTGAAAGAACAAAATGGTGGAAACTGAAAGGGGAGACGTCAGAGGTATTTAGGGAAAGGGTTATCAAAGAGGGCTCTTGGAAGGAAGAAGACGACATAAACAATATGTGGGACAAGATGGCAACCAACATTCGGAAGGTAGCCTCAGAGGTGTGTGGAGTAACCAAAGGAAGGGGACGCGAGGCTAAAGATACTTGGTGGTGGAACGAGGAAGTCCAAATGGCTATTAAGGAGAAGAAAGAATGCTATAGACGCTTGTATCATGACAGGAGTGTGGACAACATAGAGAAGTATAAGGTGGCAAAGAAGACTGCAAAGCGGGCTGTAAGTGTGGCAAAGGGTAGAGCGTACGAGGATCTTTACCAACATTTGAGTACGAAGGAAGGAGAGAAGGACATTTATCGGATGGCTAGGGTTCGTGAGAGAAAGACACGGGACTTCAACCAAGTTAAGTGCATTAAGGATGAAAGGGAGCATCTCTTGGTAAAGGAGGATGAGATCCGACATCGATGGCAAGAGTATTTTGACAAATTGTTCAATGGTGAGAATATGGACACAACCTTTCAGTTAGATGACTCTTTTGATGACACCAATAGGCGCTTTGTGTGGAGAATCCAAGAATCTGAGGTCAGAGAGGCGTTGAAAATGATGAAAGGAGGTAAGGCGATGGGACCGGATGGTATCCCAATCGAGGTGTGGAGATGCCTCGGGGACATAGCTATAGTATGGTTAACCAAGCTGTTCAACCATATTTTTCGATCGAACAAGATGCCTGATGAGTGGAGAAGAAGTATATTGGTACCGATCTACAAGAATAAAGGGGATATTCAAAGTTGTACAAATTACCGGGGAATTAAGTTGATGAGCCATACTATGAAGCTATGGGAGAGAGTTATCGAGCATCGCTTGAGAGCAATAACGCGGGTCTCTATGAACCAATTTGGTTTCATGCCCGGAAGATCAACCATGGAAGCCATTTTCTTAATAAGACAAGTTATGGAGCGGTATAGGGAGAAGAAGAAGGACCTACACATGGTTTTTATTGACTTGGAGAAGGCTTATGATAAAATACCAAGGAATGTTATGTGGTGGGCTTTGGACAAACATAAAGTCCCAACGAAGTACGTTGGGCTCATTAAGGACATGTACAAGACAATGTTGTGACTAGAGTTCAACAAGTGATGGAGACACGGATGACTTCCCGATTAGGATAGGACTACATCAAGGGTCATTTGAGCCCTTATTTGTTTGCTTTAGTGATGGATGAGGTCACAAGGGACATACAAGGGACATCCTTGGTGTATGCTTTTCATGACGATATAGTGCTAGTTGATGAAAGCCGACGAGAGTGAATCACTGGAGTTATGGCGGAAACTTTGGAGTCTAAAGGTTTTAGACTTAGTAGAACTAAAACCGAGTATATGAGATGTGACTTGTACTACTACTCGGAGGAGGAAGATGTTAGTTTGGAAGGTCAAGTAGTGCCTAGGAAGGATATCTTTCGATATTTAGGATCAATGCTACTGAGAGGACAGGATATTGATGAAGATGTTAACCATAGAATCAAAGCGGGGTGGATGAAGTGGCGGCAAGCGTCACGGTGTCCTATGTGACAAAAGGGTACCACGAAGCTAAAAGGCAAGTTTTATAGGACGGCGATTAGACACTGCTATGTTGTATGGTGTAGAATGTTGGCCCACGAAAAGACGACATATTCAACAACTAAGTGTCGCGGAAATGCGTATGTTATGCGTTGGATTTGCGGTCATACAAGAAGGGATCGAGTTCGAACGATGATATCGTGAGAGATTAGGGGTAGCGCCAATTGAAGAAAAGCTTGTCCAACACCGGTTGAGATGGTTTGGACATGTGCAACGGAGACCTCCAGATGCACCGGTGCATAGTGGAATCCTAAGTCAGGATAGTAACGTGAAGAGAGGCAGAGGAAGACCGAAGTTGACTTGGGTAGAGGCAATAAAAGGAGACTTGAAAGGATGGAATATATCCAAAGACTTAGCCTTAGATAGGAGTGCTTGGAAGACAGCTATTAACGTGCCTGAACCTTGATTGCTTTTGTTGGGTTTCAACTCTAGCCTACCCCAACTTGTTTGGGACTTAAAGGCTTTGTTATTGTTGTTGTTGTAATGTGTAGTGCAGCAACAAAGTAGCAAGCCCTCGCCAACAACAATGCTAGGCTTTGCTGGATCAAGAGCTCCTCGGATTCCTTCTCACCAACAGTACGAAGGGCACCTAGATCAAGCCATACCAAAGCAGGAAATTGAACTTCAATTCCCCCCCTCCATTCGTTGACTATTAGAATTTTGTTGATTTAGCACAATTAGAGTTATCAGTTTGTTAGAACTGATAAAACTGCTAGATCCAGAGAGAGACCATGGGACCATGGTTGGTTTCCATTGTTCTCAAGATTTCTCCCTTTACTGCATTTGTCTTAGCAAAACTATTATACAATGAAATGACAACTATTGTACTGTACCATGTTTTTTTTATTATTCACACAAGCATCTGTCAACACAATGCAAGAGATTTCCAATTTATGGCCCAGCAAAAATGAACAGGAAAAAGGTCTCCAGTTTATGTTCATAGCATAAGGTCTTTTTCAAGATATATGAAATTAATGATTTGCCAAAAAATGTATTAAAACTCAAGTTAAGACACTTGTCACTGGTCCTTTTTGCTCTTTTTTTTGTATTCTATGTTACGTTATTTCATTTATATTTTAGTAGGTGCTTGTAGCAACGCACGAGCCAATATCTAGTACATAGTAAAAGTAATCTATTTTGAAAAACAAAAACGTATTATAGTAAACATGTGGGTAAAAAAACCATCCATCTCATCTACACCTAATTATGGACCATCCATCCCAACCAATTTCCAAGAAAAACCAAGCCCAAGCCAAACTGACCAACGTATAGGATAGACAACCCATTACATAGGGTCTATAGACAATCCATTACCTGGGGTCTATTTGGGACTGCTTCTTTCCATATTTTTCAGCCAAACATGTGTAACTCCACAGACTCTACTTTAAAAATAAAAAGTTGTAAGAGCACCTAAAGAGATGCTCTAGAAGCTATAGGTTTTTGTGAAGCTACTCAATAACATTTGTTGAACAGAGTTTATAGAGCAGCCCCTGAAAAGACCCAATGACCCAAGCCAATACGGTCAGACCATAATTCACTAACCCAACCTGAAAACACCCGGCCCAACATAAGAAAACAAAAACCATGCGCCTATTTGGTTCATGACCAAACTTGCCATGCCTAACTTTCGACAACATGTGTGGTGAGCAAAATCAAAGCCACATTTGTGGCAAAGTTTGATAAGAAAACGAGTCTACGACGTATGGGACAAGATGCTCAAAAAGTGTGGCATGTCATAGTTGCGGCAGTGAATCAAACATGTCTAAAAAAACTATCGCACGACAGACTTGCGACGCGGCAAGTTATGGTCATATAAACCTAACAGGTCCCAAGAAATAGACTGACCCAACCCAACCCAACATTGCCCATCTAGTGGGCAGGGCAAAAAAAAAAAAAAAAGGCCCCACACAGCCCTGATTAGGTCTAATCTTACCCAGCTCGCCAATGATGTAATAACAGCAATAGTGGTACAGAAAAATGCCCAAAAGAAAAAAAAATCCTGTGGCATCACTGGAATACCAGAGCCATAGACAAACAGCCTAAGCCATAAACTGTTGCTATGCAGCAAGCCAGCAAAGATGAAACCATGTTTGAATGACCTTGATTCCTTGACCGAAGAAGCAAGCATGATAAAATTATCTAAGCAAGTATATGGTCCACAGATAATGCTCAAGCTGCATAGCATACCATACATCTGGCTTTAAAAAAAACGGGTTGACAAAAATAACACTAATTAGTCATCTCCATAATGGCAGTGACGATGTCCCCATTAGAAGCCTTGAGAGCCTTGACAGCCTTGGACCTCGAAACAGATGCCTGGGTCATGACCAGCTCAATGTCCTTGGCCTCAACACCAGTTTCGTCAACCTCCTCCTCATTGTCCTCCTGACCCAGGCCAGATGTCTCAGGCTTCGAGATCATTTGGCTCAAGTCAGGAGCCTTGAACTGTTCTGCAGCCTGGGTCTGCAGCTGAGAGCTGAGGTCCTCGATCTTGGCCTCGCCAAATATGACGTAGGTGTCTGAATTCGGGCTCTTGAACACATCTGGCTTGGAGATGACAAAAAGCATCTGGAAAAATAGCTTGTTAGCCAAACAATATATAATATATATCAGTTTGCGTGATCTGACTATGAGTGAATGATGAATTACATTCTTGCTTTTCTTCACAGTGACGCGGCTGACACCAGTGATGGGCTTCATGCCAAGCTTCAGCATGGCCTTGCGGCTCTTCTTCTCACTCCTGCTTTGCTTGGACTTGCCACTGGCATCCCCTTCTTGTCCTGAAGATGAAAATGTGATCAATACTTGTCAGAGCACAGGTATAGTAATTGTTCCACACACCAGTGAACCAAACAGTCAGCAAATTCCCTGTGAAGGGATACAGGGGAAACAAGAAAACTCATGGCATAACATTTGTTTGCCCAGTCTTCTTGGTCGTCAACAAATGAGACTGCCTAATTAAGCAATGCAGTTTACTTGTCTATAAACAGTATGTGACTATGCAAAGTTGGCATGTGTTTTTTCCTAAAGAATGTGGTTGACATGTACCTGATATGTATATAAAACTATACACTTATGCCGTATAAGCCATATATGTAATATGTAAAACAATAGCAGCAAAATCATCAACTACCTACAAGTATTCAAGGCAAGCTAAAAAAACTATGCATGCCCCTTGCTCTAACATGTACAGCATTTAACAATTAAACATCCAGACTCATGGACCTACAGTAGCACCACTGATGTGGCACCGAACTGATTCTAGTAGCGCTTAATACAAAAACCATTAGTGATAAATCATTTCATGAGGGCTGAAGAGTGACACTTCAAACATAACCAAGCCAATGCCAACAAATTATAAGCATTACGAGTTTCAACATATAAGACGTTTCTTTTGTCACTACTTTCACATATTTACATTCTTATCATCAACCTAAATAGCGCTAAACAGACAGTACCAGATCGTAATAACTCACCATCCAATTCATCATCATCCTTGTCATCATCGTCATCGTCATCGTCATCATCGTCCTCATCCTCCACCACAACCTCCTCTGCCTGTCCACGGCATTCAACAGATAAGTATGCTGGCGTCAAGATCAGAATAGTTGGTGACAGCATTATATCACAAAAACATATAGCAAAACAGCAAGTGCGATTAAAAGGATCACGTCACAACGCGTAAAATGAATAACAGCACCAACAATTTTCCACCAGCCATAATAACAATAATAATACTAAAAGATGAAACTTTACATGATCAACTAGACCCATGGATGAAATCAAGCCACTTCAGGTTAACGAATCCGCAGCTAGCTGAAAAAACATCAAGTTTCTACTGGACCACAGTATCCTAGCCTATGCATCATTGATTCTACTTCCGATTCAGAATGATGAACATTGAGATTTTCTTTGTGTGAAATCTTTTTTTAAGCAACCTCTGAAAGGGGAAGGGAGTTCCTAAAGTTCACTATAGGTAGAAAAGAATGACCTGGTTTATGAGAAAAATTAAGCCCAACAAAAAAACATCAGAATTGCACGGTTAATTAATCAAAAACTTGCAAAAACCCACTATGATAGTGTGTCTGAAACAACCAACACAACACAACGGAGCCCAACCCAAGTCATCATTGCCGAGGCGTCGCCATGGCCAAACAGCTCCAACTTCCTACACCGGACCTCACTTCACCCCCAAACCAAGGCACTACACACACCTACATGAAAACTAATACCACAGACAAAAAGCCGCTAAGAATCAGCATCTCCAAGCTAAGCCCGCGCCGACGGTGGTTCCCTGCCCCCGCGTGGATCCGCGCTAATCCAACCTCCCAACCAAAGGGGCCACCCGATCCAACTGTGGAGACACCGGATCTGGCCGTCGCCGGCATCCTGAGCCTGGGAAACCACGGTCGCAGTCCGTCTCCGTGGTGACCACCGTGGATGATGGATCTCGGGGGAAACCCGAGTGAAGAAAAGCACCCGCCGCCGCCGTCCCTAAGGCCGCGCGGGCGACTTCCAGAAGCGGCGAGGCTAAGGAGGGAGGGGTGTGGTGGCGGCGGACCTTGTTCCACCCGATCTGACGCTGAGGGCAACGCGGGTGTCGGTTCGAATTGGGTTCGTGAAAGCTATTTGTAGTGCAGTACTTCTCGGTGCGAAATCTCACCTCGGTCTTCTGCTCCTCAAGCTTCTGCTGCTCGATCTGGGCGGCGAGCTCCTCCGCAGCCTGCGCCGTCATCTTGGTGTATCGGTGGTGTGTGAGGGGCAGAGCGGCGGCGGCGGCGTGGCAAAAACCCTAGAGAAAACAAGCACGAAGGGGGTGGGCCGTGGGCCGGCAGGGCCGCTTTGTCCTGTATTTATTTAAATAATATAATATCGCATAATCAGTTGGCCGCCAGGGCTTACCGCGAGGAGTCGAGGAGTGGGGACAGTGACTCAGTGAGAGCATATGGAAAGCTCATTGCAAATTTTATTACTAGTTACTAGTAGATAAACTAACGCCAGTTTGCAATCATAGACGAATTATTATAAACCGGATTATACATAGGATTATTATAATCAAGATTATAGATGACACTCCAGTAAATAGAGTATTTGGCTCTCTTGATTATTATGGGTGATTATAGTTGGTTAAAGCGAGAAAATCCCTATCTTGTCTTTTTAATTTGGCAAGTTAGACAGCTGATAGAAGATCAAATTAGACTTTTAGCACCCATAATCTCTCAAAAAGCATGTCTCATACGGATTATGGGCTTGTGATAATGATGGGTTTTGATTATATGTCAAATAACCAATCATGTTTGGATCATAATTTAATTATATAAATTGATTACTATAATTGTAGGGTATCCCAATAGAGCCTAACATGAACAAAAATGAGCACCTGGGATGCACATGCAAATTTGTGAGTTAATAGTGAGATTCAGCCATTTTTTTGTTTTTGAGAGTTTAATATAAAAGTATTAGAGAGCCTAGAAACAAGAATGTGAGAGCAAATGAAAAGCTCTATTTTTCAATATTTTTAGTAGTTAACTAACTTTTTAAAACTCAAAACCATACGGGAAAGGAGAAACCCATGAGGGAGCATCCGGAACGCACATGCATATTTGTGAGTTAATGGTAAGATTTAGCCATTGTTTATTTTAGAGAGTTCTGATGTACGGATACTAGAGGGTTTGTCGAAGAACGATTTATAGAGTTCTTTTAGAGAGCTCATGGAGATGCTCCCACTAACCTCTCATGAGTCCTATTTGGTGGAGCTCTGGCCGGCTTTGGTTTTGGCTCTAATTTCTTCATGCACTCTAGGAAAAAGTTATTTTATCTATAAAAAAAAGAGTTAGGAGCCACTATTTTTTGTTTCATGGGCTTCAACATCTATGTGCACTGTAGCAAGGAGTCGAAGCCATTTGGAGTCATGTCAAACAAACCTAAGCCACCGTGTATCTTAATCTTCATCTCCCATCTTTGAACAGCTCACATGCATTGAAAGAGAAAAAAACTTGCTTAGCACCTTCGAACACACAGTAAATTTATTGGAATCGTATAATAATATACAAGAAAAAACACAAATTTAGAAAACACATGCATTTGAAAAGGAGATTTTAGCATTTTTCTCAGTGGAATATGCTTCTCTAGCATTGTACGTCAAGGCAATATCAGCATTGATAAGAAGAAATTGAGCGCTACGAGAGACATATTGGGTCACTTTTGGAGTTCCTAAGCTGCATATTCTTATCGGCACGAACACTACAAAATAGTAGCAGGTGCTGCCATTCTTTCATGTCTGGACACCCACTAACCACCAAATGCCCCCAACTCCTAAGCATGTATTTGGGCAGTCTTAGCATGCACAACTCTTGGCATCTCAATGGTTGAAGACGCAAGTGAGGGAAAGAGAGGGTATCTGATCGATTTCAGTTGCCTGTTAAGATGAAGATTGATGCTTGGGCATCCATCGATCTGCCTGTGAGGTAGGAACCAAACAAAGCCATGAATGCCTCACGGTTTGTGTGGTGAGGTACAAGAACTAAGCATGGCGCTAACTTAACTTCCTTCGCAAGATGGCTTCACACTGGCAATCTGCAACAAACCATTAACAACAATGCATTGATGTAGTTTGTACATAATGGGTGGCAACACTCGGGGAAGAGTCTCTGCCAAAGGTTCCCGTAAGATCCATAATAATACCTTGGCCTGTTTGCTTGAACTTATCAGCTAGAATCTACAATATTTTTCTCTCACAATCAAAGCAGCTTCAGTCGGCTTATCAGCCGACTTTAATACCAGCCGAACATGCCCTATAATTGAAGGCTTATAATTTTTTTCTTTACTTTTGTTGGTGTCACGGACAAAACCAAAAATTTATCATAGGAAGCCATTGTCAACAATAAAAAAATAGAAAATTTATGCACACTTAAGTTACATAACAATACTTCCACTACTCAAACATATTTGTTTTGCACTAAAAAAAAGAAGAAGAGCAACTCACTCAAATATACGTTTTTTCTCTAAGACTTTGAAGTGGTACATAGGTACGGGAGGAAAGAGATTGGTCTTCTCTTTTGTCCAAACACTATCCTCATCTTTTTTTTTCTTTGTTTTGTTTTCTCCATTTTTCCTAAAAAAATTTCTTTGATCCAAATTGAGCCTAAGCTAAAGCGCCTTTTTCCTTTTGATATATAGGTAAGCTAAAGCGCCTTGAGAAAACCGGGCATCTCCCGTCTCATCTCAACGGAAGAAGATGTTTTTTTTTTTGGCAGAATCTCAACGGAAGATGTGTACTCCGTGGATGCGCATGCCGTTAAAGCCCAACCCATGAAAGCACTTCCTGCCCGTCGCATGGGTGATGCTGGGCCCCCACTTGTAGCCTAGGCCCAACCGCCCAATCCAGATACTGTCGCGTTCTTTCCACGCCAACCCCTACACCGCGGCCCCACCACCCAGAGCCAAAATCCCCTGCGCTCCTCTCCATCGTCAATCCTCGCCTCTCTCTTCCCCCCGAGCTCCTCGAAACCTAGGAGCTTGCGGACAGGCGGCGGCGGCGAGGTGATGGCGATGGATCCGGACGCGGTGGCGAAGGCTTTCGTGGAGCACTACTACCGGACGTTCGACACCAACCGCGCGGCGCTGGTGGGGCTGTACCAGGAGACCTCCATGCTCACCTTCGAGGGCGAGAAGTTCCAGGGCCCGAACGCCATTGCCGGCAAGCTCGGATCTCTCCCCTTCCAGGCCTGCGAGCACACGATCGTCACCGTCGACTGCCAGCCGTCGGGGCCCCAGGGAGGCATGCTCGTCTTCGTCTCCGGTTCCATCCGCACCGGCCCCGAGGAGCACCCCATCAAGTTCTCCCAGGTATGCACCCCCGCTTGGCCTCGATCCGCCTTCTTCTCACTTGTAGGAGTAAGGCTTATTTTATTGTGTCTGGTCCGCGATGACTTGTCACCTGATCTGATCCGTTGTCACTCCTGTGATTCCTAGGTTGGTTTGGCCCTGATCTCGTGGTAGTCCGTAGAAGGCCCGCTTTGTTTGTTGTTTTGATTGAATGGTGCCAATCATCTGTGCTTACTGTTGTGATGGTTCGATTGGTCTCATGATTATCTGCTTAGTATAAATGTCTGGTCCATGATCCTTGTGGTGGAGTTTGTTAACTGTTCAGAGCATTTGTTTTTCTACTAGGCAGCTTGTTTCGTTTAGATCTATATGTAATTGTTTATGGCTTTATGCTAGTCCTGGATCGATCCATTTTTCAGTTCTGTTTTGATTGATCGGATAGGCTGGTGTCTTGTTGTCTATACATTCTGTTGGCCTTTCGACCCTTGAAGAAATTGTTCGTGCTGTTGTAATTGACTGTGCCGGTCCGCAATTTATGCCTGATTATGGTTGTCCTTAGTTGTTACGTTAGGTTGTTCTAACGTACATACTTTTTATTGGGCACACTATCATTGAAATTTCTGTTGAATGTCAGCTAGTCTGTTATACAGACGTTTCGATCAAAGTGCAGAATTTCTGTTCGTCTCTGTGGCTTTAAGTTCCATGGCAAAGTCACTGGTTCTTGCAATATTTTTTGCAGTGCTGCTGAGTACTCGAGATAGACATGCATCATGTTCTGCTGCATTTTTTTTAATGATTCATAGACTCTGGTTGATCAAATTTATTTTTGCCTGTTTTTTTTTTCTTGAAGTCTTGAACTCCCACTCCAGAAATCCTTTTAGCATGCAGTGAATTTGAAGTACTAGTGTTTGTATCTGCGGTCAGGAGGTCTTCCTTAAACATTTGTGGACCCTGTGTTCTGCCATTATCTCCTGAAGCAGTTAGATATGAATTCATTGCCTCTGTGGCAACAAATAAACTTCATTTCCAGTGTGAAACTTTTAAACATTGGCCCATGTACATTTTAGAAAGTTTAATATTTACCTGCCTTCTACATTATTTTGTATATTTTTCTCCATAGCAAATTATGTTTCAAACTTTGGAGTACTTAGAAGGCAATGACACTTAGTTGTATCTCTTAATGGACGTTAATTTATTAATGTTTGCTTGTATAACATGTGCATGATGTCTTTTGTATATTCTCTGGCTGCAAATGTACAGTTTACCTTAAATCAAAGTATATAAAGCTTTGATTTGATGGCACTTCTGTATCTTTTGATCATAAACTCCTATGTTGGAAGCCTGCATGACTAACCTTATCAATGGTAGTAAGGTTCTGCTGTGCAGGTTGTGGTTTTAAACACTGGATTAGCATTTGCTCCTGTTTGAAATTATAATTTTCATTTCGTTAGGACAATTGTTTGACCATCAATCAATTACTCTATATTAGTATGTCATTTATGTGATACAAAATGATACCCATAAAGTCATGCATAATTTTCAGTATGAATCTAGTAGCATCAATTCTGTATTACAAAAATCATGTATTGGCAAAGAAATTGTTGGCCAAAGGCTTGTATAGTTTGTGCAAAGTATGATTGTATTCTGATAGCAACCCCTGTTTATCCAATTCATGGTTTGTAGAACTGTAAATTGCTTCTAGTGCATTCTTTTTATGCAGAGTGCATATCTTGCCTTATGTTGGTTCTTTATGTTCCTCCACCAGCACAAGTATTCTGCATTTCATTGATGTGATACTCTGTCTCTGTAGGCATTCCATTTGCTGCCGGCGGGTGGGTCCTTCTTCGTGCAGAATGACATGTTCCGCCTGAACTATGGCTAAAGACAGCTGAAAACTCTTGTGATGAACGAATTGGTTAAGGGTTTGATGTTGAAACGATGAATACTGAATGTTGCTGCTACTCTTGTCTCCTTTGTATCTCCTTTGTTGGCTGCTTCACTGTATTACAAGAAATTGCTAGACTTTGTATGCCTGTGTTGGACTATTTCAGTTGTTTTGAACCATGTACTATGGTCGCACGGGTACCATTTCTTTGTGCAATGTGAACTGAAACGATCCAGATTTGCTGGTGTGCCCTTCTACAAAACCAATGTTAGCTGGTTGATATGCATTTTGTTACAATAGCAAGCATTTGAGTTTCTGGGGCTTTTCTCTGAGGGCCGTTTGGATCCTTTCTTTTATAGGAATTGAAATTTACTTAATAAATTAAGTTATTTTGTTTGGAATTTGACTTTATTAGTTTACATAGTTCACATATAAGTCTATCTAAAATTCATAATGTTGGAGATAGAAATTGATTCTGCAGATCTCCATTATATGTTTCTACTTTGCAACTTATAACATGGTCTTCAAGTCGATCTCTTACGGTAGAAATGTAACACATAAGTATCTCTCTTGTATAACCTATAATAATATATAAATATAATTTATATACAACCATATTAGCTTAATTAATATGTGTCTAAATAATGATTATGAAAACAAATATAATCCATATACAACCATATTTGTAGAAGTTTGGAAAATTTTTGTTCTGCGCAGGAAAGTCTAAATTCTTGGGATGTGGCAAAAAACCTCAGGGCCTATTTGGAATATAGGAAAATTTTCTGTTCTTGCGCCTGTGAAATCGAACTGATTCTTGAAAGGTTCCTACGAAATTCTTCCATCGCTGGTTAGGTAGCTCGAATTGCTTTCATGTCTACAACTAACATGGCTGGTTAGGGAATGATGACTTTTGCTTTTCTACAACTAATGAAATTGAATTCAATGTGTACCAGAATTTCGGTGCCTGCAACTAATAAGATTGAATTTTCAAACTATAATTTCCAAAAAAAAAAGTCCGTGACAAATTTTGAGAACAAAAACTTCAGCTGGGAAGGAGATAGATCGTGAATGCCAGCCAGGAGGTGGATCATGACAAAAGCATATATCAACAAGCAAGGTGATAGCATATGGGCCAAAAATAGGCGACGAAGCCCAGTAAATAGAGCCCAGAGGCCAGAAGATAAGAGCTAGCCCGGAACACCCGGCGCAAGGAAACGAGTAGGATTCTTCTCGAGAAGACGACTAGTTCCAGGTCACAATATGTATACATATAAAACCATCTTATACAGAACATGAGAAATAAGTGCACCTATACATGCTGTACAGTGTTGTACTATATGCACTTGCTACATTGAACTTGAACAGGGCAAATGTTTGAGAGAAATTATTGTATATATATGCATGCCAGCTTTGTGCATCTCAGAAGCTTCAACCCGTTTGACCAGAGACCAGTTACACAACGCCAGTTAACGACGGCCCCCTTTCTTATTCAGAAAGCTTTCACCTCTTTCTGGTGAAGAAAGCCAAAACCAGGCTTAGCCAGTGCTAGTCTGCTAGACATAATTAAAAAGTCATACGTACAGAGATATGTGACTTCAGAAAGCTTTTTCCTCAGAAGCCACCACTCTCTGAACATATGGCTTTAAATTGCCAGACTGATTGTTGCTAGCTTCATACTAGTTTATATGTTCATCAGTTCGTCTACTGACGTGCTGGAGAAATTAGCAACCGTAGTAGACCCAGAGCAAGATGCTAGTATCATATAATTTGAAACTTCCTTCTTACTGCCGATTAAAGAACGTGCTTACTTCAGGTTTAGGGCCACCCCCTTCATTGTCAGTTTGTTCTGCAATTGAACTAAGATACTCTCAGAAAACTCATGCGTCAGGCAAGAACATTGCACTGGGATGCAGATCAGTACTGCAAATTCATGCTACTCTACTATGGAATCAAAGAATTAGATATATAGGATCACCCTGATAAGTGCCAGAGCTTCGCCCAGTGCTTCCTCCAAGCCTCTTATCCCAGCCATGTTCAGCTCATTTAGATTTTCTTCCATGGCCCTGAAATTTAGTACTTGAAAAATTAGATATAGAAATTAAGGCAACATAGATCAGTGGCTGTTTCATAAAGTGCATTTGTTTCATTACCATTGTGCAATCATAATTAGCAGGTCAGGTAACGAGCCTCCAATTGGCTCCTCATTCTGAGAAAGCTGCAGGTAAAGCAAGAAAATACATGCATACTGTGAGAAAATCACACAAAGTACACTAGTCCTTGATTAGAATACATATTTGACATATGAACAGTGAATTGTATAATGTTCAGATTCCAAGTCCTGAAAGGACTTCTGATACTAATCAATTTCTTCAATTTTGCAAAGGCATTTCATGAGGTAGAGCAGAAAGTGAATTAGCATATATGAGATTGAAACTAGCATACTGGTCTGCACCTATTGGCTGATTGTATTATTTGCCAGGGGGGTGGGGACCAAACCAATACATGATAGTTACATTACATTTTCATGATCATATGATTGTGGTTGTTGAACAAAATTCAGTACATATAACTTCACAACACAATTCACAATAACAGCAGAATTTTCCTTAAAAACTAGGCCAACTCTTATTTTTGTTTTCTCATAATAAAACTTGTGGCAAAGCTTTTGCCTTCCTTTAAAAAATGTCATATTGTCCTTGAGTTATGCCCGATGAAAAAGTATCAGAGCCATCAAGATACAAGATCAAATACATGAAGTTTATTCAACTAGTTTTGTTGCAACTTGCAGGCCACTTGCATGAAGGACTTGGATGTGGACATTCTTTTCCTTCTATTTTACACCAGGTTAATATAGAAGGCCACATCTGTGACATATCAAAGAAGGAAAACAAAACCAGATCGTAATAAAGACATCACAAATAGAAAAACCAAAAACAAAAGTTACCGGCTTTATTCATGAAACTAGATATCCACAAGGCTTTTGATACGGTTCATTGGGGGTACCTGCTCGAGATTCTGCAAGCCCTGGGCTTCGGACAGCGATGGAGTGAATGGATCTCTATCCTCCTGCGTACATCAACTTCCACACCCTTGCTTAATGGGCGACAGGGTGCCGCTTTTAGCCATGCCAGAGGCGTCCGTCAAGGAGATCCACTCTCACCCATGCTATTCATCCTTGCTATGGACCCACTTCAGCGCTTGCTTGACCGGGCAACCGACCATGGGATACTCACCCCCTTACCAATCACGGCGGCACCCTTACCAATCACGACGGCAAAATGGAGAACCTCCATGTATGCGGATGATGCCGCCATTTTCATCAGCCCCACAAAAGACGATGTTCAAGCCGTCAAATCCATCCTACACGCTTTTGGCTCATTCTCGGGACTACATATCAACCTACAAAAGAGCTCGGTGCACCCAATCAGCTGTGCGGACGTTGATCTAGACCAAGTCCTCTCACCCTTCACCGGTTCTAGAGGGACCTTCCCTTGCAAGTACTTGGGCCTCCAACTCCACATCAGAACACTGCAAAAGATACACGTGCAACCTCTCATAGACCGTATCGGGCAGAGGTTACCCAAATGGAAAGGAAGATGGCTTAACAGAGCGGGACGTCTCACTCTAGTAACATCTGTCCTCTCCTCCATGCCAACCTACCACCTGACGGTGTTTCCTCTAGCTGCATGGGCTAAGAAAAAGATTGACAAAATCAGGAGATCGTTCCCCGAAGGGGGGAGGAGAACGCCAATGGCGACATCGCTTGTTAATCGCCAGCAGCTTAGAAGGCCAAAAGATCTGGGTGGTTTAGGCGTCATCGATCTTGATAGATTTGGGAGAGCCCTCCGGTTATGATGGCTTTGGTAGGAATGGGTGGACGACTCCAAGCCTTGGAACGGCTCCAAGCTTCCATGTTCCGATGAGGATCGTCTCCTCTTCAACTCCCCAATCATTATAACTTTGGGGGACGGTGCAAAGACTAGGTTTTGGAACCACAATTGGCTCGATGGACACGCGCCTAGGTACTTAGCACCAAACTTGTTTTGCCTAGTTTCAAGGAAAAACCGAACGGTGAAACAAGAGCTCCGGAACAGCAATTGGATACGCAAGCTACAAAGGAAAATCACCTCGGCTGTCCACATAGAGGAGTTTGTGTCCCTTTGGATATGGATACAAGATGTGCACCTACAGCAGGGCGTCCAGGACACCATCACCTGGCGGTGGACTGGTGATGGGAAATACTCCACCCACTCGGCCTACAAAATACAGTTCAGAGGCTCGCTCGTCCCCTTCAGTACCGAGTTGATCTGGAAAGCGCAAGTGGAGAACAGATGCAAGATTTTTGCCTGGATCTTAGTGCAAGATAAAATTCTAACGGCACAAAACCTACAGAGAGAGGATGGCCACACCATCAACAATGCATGCTCTGCAATGGTCTTTTAGAGACCGGCCTCCACCTATGCCTATGTTGCCCCTTCGCTAAGAGGGTTTGGAATCAAATCCTCTCGTGGGAGAACTTCACTCAGATCCAGCAGCAACCCCAGCTGCAACACACCGATATCAGATCATGGTGGGAAGAGGTGGCGACGAAAGTGCCAAGATCAGAGCGTAGGCGGTTTAACGGGGTAGTAATCTACACCTTTTGGAACATTTGGAAAGAGAGAAATAGGAGAATCTTCGACAACAAGATACAGACGGTGCCGCAGGTGGTCGCAAAGATAAAGGAAGATATACAGCAAAGGAAGAGAGCACTCGATTATGTGTAGCCGATGCCCCCTAACCTTTTGGGCCGTGCGTTTCCCTAACTTGCATGCTTGTGGGGGGTTTGTATTCCTAACCTCGACTGCCTTAGTTTGTACATAAACTCTCTTTTTCCCCAGCTTAATTGAAAGGCAGAGCTCCTGCCATTGTGTTAAAAAAAACCAAAAACAACGAGTCAGATCAATGGTGATATGATAGAGATGGATCTACCAATGACCGATGACCGCCCACTTCACAAATGGCTCATAAAAAGAGAACCATCTATGCTATAGATATAGATGAGTTGGTCTTGATTTAACCTATCTATGATAGTATTGTTATCACACATATGGTGCTCGAAATGACTTGTATGGAATATCTAAGGTCATTGGGACATGAATACATTCTTTAAATCAATTTTTCTTTGCATTGGTCTCTGATACAACTACCTTATGGATGGTCCATGGTGTTGTCAACATTATTCTCCTTTACGAGGTTGTTGTCTGCTAGGTGGCTTTCCATGATAAGTAAGAGGCCGAGGAAGATAACAAAGAGACCATGAGGGTAGAGGACGATGATGTCTCTCCTTGTCGAGGATGAGTGCAATGAGACTCAATCTACAATGGTGCTTAAGGAACCTAAGGTGGAGGGCAATAACGTCAAGGTGGAGCAACAACAACATGAGGAAGAAGATGATCTAAGAGTGGGGGGAGGGGGGTGTTATGGAGAGAAAGATCCTAACAAGGAATGTGAGGATGAAAAATAACAGTGATATCTACTACTACTTTGATGATGACGACGACTTAGTCCATGGGGTCAATAAGGCAGCGGCGGTGGAGCTCTATGATCGCAATTGTCCCACCAGATGTAGACAAATTTAATACCATTGATTACTTGTGATACCCCTATTATACTATAGCAACCCTTAGGTCCAGTTTGGTAGGGCCCCAAATGTCGATCTAGATTTCAGTTCCATATCCATGGATGTAGACTGGATCATATCTAGAGTAGACACATGAAGCTCCACCAAACAACATCAACTCTAGTTTTTCCTTCACCATGGACAAGAAGATATAAGCCATGATCATCGTCCACTATAATACCCACCACTCCCTAACTCACTTGATGACGCTCCCTATCAAAGGTGATAATGATTGCCACCGGTAGCAAAGATTAACTATAAACAGTGGCGTACTAGTGATAGGGACGACTCATATGGTGACTCCTGTGTGTGCTCGCAAAGGAAGGAGAATAGCTATTGTGCACGCCTGCAAGGTCATTGGGGCGGAGCTAAACACTACTCGCTCTAGGTGGCGGCCACCTTTATCAGGACAGACTCGTTAGCAGTAGATGTCAACATAGGGGGTGACCAACCAAGTTAGAGAAAACTCCATCGTCGGTGACATAAGACAATAAAAGGGGCACCTAACCAAGTATGGGAACACTCACTCATTGGCGTGGTGAACTTCCTCATAAGGGGCACCTGACCACCTTTGATTCGCTGCTAGGGTGCTTGAGTACAAGTGTGTCTAAATAGAACAAAATGGATCCTTGTCAATAAGATTTCAAGGTGGGAAAACAACTCAAAGGCCTTCGCCAAGCATATCAAGCCTTTGAAGTCTAGCAACCTAGGATGTGTTGCAAGATCTCAACCATTGTGGCGTTAGATCATATCCTATTTAGCTTCTAAAGTTGAAAGAAGCAACCACCTTTTGAAATTTGCTCCTAAGGGGCTGTTTAGGTCTCCTCTACCATACCAAATTCAGCCTATCGAGTGAAAGGAATCCCAAAATATGTACTCTTTTTTTGAGGGGCCCAAAATATGTACTTAGCCTAAACTTCAAATTGTGGAATTCGTAAATCTAGAGACAAATCCATGGATTTGATGGAGATCCTTAAAGGTGTCTAGAAATTCACTTTCTCAACCTCCTCATGTAGTTAAGGGTAATTAACCACCAATGCCACTAGTTCATACCCCTTCCCTCTCGTGTACTATTTTGTTATTTCTCAACCCTCATTTCTCTTCCTCAACCCACGTCTAATCTTTTTTTTTCTCGAACACACGGGAGAGATTGAGAGGATCAAGATGCCTAAGAGTGGGGGGGTGAATTGGGTTAATTCTAAATTTCTTTCAATAATTAAGCCCTACATTTAACCCATTTGACTCCCTTTTGCCTAGAAATGTTTCTATTGTTCTATCGCACAGAGAGTTTTACACCTTAGGTTCCAATCCTACTCTAGCATGGCAATTCTAAGAATGTAAAGACATAAATTGAATTGTTCAAATGTAAATGCTCAAAGTAAAGAGAGGGAAATGAATGCGTCGATGTTTTTCTGAGGTATCGGAGAGTCGCCACTCTCCACTAGTCCTCGTTAGAGTACCCATGCAAGGGTGTAGCTCCCCTTGATCGGCGCAAGGATCAAGTGCTCTCTACGGACTGATTCTTTAACACTCCGTCATGGTGAATTGCTCAC